GGGCCCACCGCGCGGCTGCGGCCTGGACCACCCCGGTGTTGCGCTGGGGACGCGCCTGGGGGCGGGCCGGGGGCTGGCCGGGGGCCCGGGGACGCCGGGAAGGGCCGATCCCGATCCCGGAGCCGCGCCGGAATGTTGGAACTGGGAGGGGGCAGCGGAAGGAGGACTCTCCCGCGCGCCCTGGGCCACTGCATTCCCGGAGTCCGCCTGGGACCCTCCCGACCCAACCCCCCTGCAGCCGGAACCCCTCCCTCACGCCCAGCTCGCGGCCGCCGGGGACGCCAGGGCTGCAGAGACGGAGACCCCTCCTCCCCGTCGCAGCCCAATGCAGCCCGCGCTTTCCAGGGATGATTCACAGTTTGAGATAGGGCTGCCTGCTAAGGCCCTTCTGAGCATTAGGACAACCCTGGGGGATGCGCAAAGGGGCTGTGGGGAATCCCGGCCACGAGTGGCTGGTGGGGAATCCCGGCCACGAGTGGCTGATCGGGAAGCTCATTCCTCGCTTCAGCGGAGGGTACGGCTAGATGTGCATACTGTGCTGGGGAGAGAGGCGAAGGGTATTTGAAGTCAGGTAACAGTGAGGGGCGAGCAGGAATCAGGGCCGCCGGACCCCCAGACAGGGCCACTTGCCACTACCCTATGCTGAACATAGTCTGGTGGCTCAAAGGGGTCTTCCTGCACCCATCCCTAATCTTCCAGGCTCTGGAGCCTGGGAGAAGGCATGTCCAGGATCCCTGAGCAGACCCGATTCCCACCAGCCCTCTGCATCATCTGCTCCACACCGAAGTTGGACTTTCCCACAGAAGAGAAGGCAAAGAAAAGGTTCCATCTACCAGAGCGGCGCCTGACGACACAGAACCCATTTGCCTCAGATCCTGTTTGAAGGCCAAGCAGAAATGAAATCAGTTCCCCTGAAGAAAGTGGCCTGGCAGAACAAATGGGTAGAAAGTGGATGGACTGAGGAGAACCTGGATCCCTTAGCTGTGTTTTTCGCACTTCAGGGCCTGGGCACCTCTTGTTTCCTATAGACTGCAAATCATCACTCCTGACTAGTGCAGTTACTGGGATCCGCCATTTGTCAAATACCTGGATTCGACTTTAACAGGAGATGCACCAAAGTGAAGCAGTGAAGTTCTTTGTGAACAGTGAGTGTTCCCGCAAATGACAGATACATGCACGGCCACCCAGGTATCTTATGTGCAGCCACCCCCTTCAGGTTTTCCCTGGACTCATGGTTAGCAGGAATCAGGCACACTCAATTTCAGAAGCACCAGCCAGCAGCTTGGCCTGGACCAAGGCTAGCCCAGGTAGTTTGGGTTGAGGTGGTCATGCCCACACCCTCTGCTGGAGCTCCTAGCCCTGTGACTGGCTGGAGATGCTGCTGTGGAGTGCTGGGAATCTGTGCTCACAATTCTGCCTAGGGCCAGTGGCCCTGCGGCAGATAAAATGCAGAGCCTAGAGATGACTGTGTACAGCATCAGATCATTCCCTGCTGCCTACTCCATTTCCCTCCCCCAAACTGACACCTCCCTGTCACCTGTCTGCCCTTCACAGCTTAGAATATGCCCTCACTCTACATTTCACTCAGCCCCAGGGTTAGAGCCAGCCTCTGGGGTAAATCCTGCTTCATCAGTTCCTGACCAGGTGATCTCAGGCATGCTTAACCTTTCTATGCCTCAGTTTCTTCATCCAGGAAACAGATGAAGCTGTCTACCTCGTTGGGTGCGTGTTTGGGATCGTTCAGGCATTTAGCAAACTTACTGAGCACCTACTAGGCACTTCCAGCACTCAGGCACATCCATGCACACAACCAGCTCGTGGGGGTAGGGTGCAGGCAAGCACTTGGTGCAATCAGTAATGTGGCTGCTATGTTGGATCCGTGTTGCAGAAGTGGAGCAGTGTCAAGGCTCCATCGTGACTGTGATATCTGAGAGAGTCAGTCAAGCTCCAGCAGGGGTGAGAACAGGGTC